ACTTGTATTGTTTTACATCGTGTTACTCTTCTGTTTTGTTTCTCTTATTTTTGTATTTTTCGTTGATTATATTATATCAATATTGTTTTATGCTTATGATTTTCTTTGAATGGGTGTTGTTATTTTCGGTGTGAGTGTGTGATGTTATGGTTTTATAGTTTGTGTATAGGGTTATTAGATGTTGTTACAATGTGTGTGTTTGTTTAGCTTTGATTTTTGTGTTTTTACATATTGTATTATGGTTATGTATTTAGTCGAAATATTTTTGTAGTTAGTGAGTTTTATATTTTATGTAGCGTATTCTTGCTCTTGTTTTTTCACGTTTTAATTTGTGTATTGCTATACTTATTGTGATTTAGCATTTATTACGTTGTTGCTATAATTTTTGTTAGTAGTCACGTTATGGTGTAGTTGTTTTCGTTTTGTGTTCTATTTGTTTTATTAAGCCTACGTAGTATACATATTACTTATACATGTTTGTTGTGTGTGTTACCACATAATTTTGGTCATATTTTACCTTTCATGTACGCGTTTTGTTATCATTATTGGTTGATTATTTATCAAGTTATATGTTTTTCTTGTATGTATTTTTATGTTGTCTTTAATTTTATTAATTTATTAGTTTATTTGTGTTATTTGGGTTATATTGTTATTAGTTAACATAGTTATTCTTTTACGTTTCATCAGTAGTTTTATAGTTTATTTGGGATGTGAAATGAGTGTTATAAGTTTATACAACTTAGTTACAGATTTTGCACATTGTAGGATGTGAAATGAGTGTTATAAGTTTATACAACTTAGTTACAGATTTTGCACATTGTAGATATTTTGTTGTGTTTATTAGTTGTAAGTTTATACAACTTAGTTACAGATTTTGCACATTGTAGATATTTTGTTGTGTTTATTAGTTGTTTTTATTTTGTTAGGTTGTGTATATATTACTTTAATATTGTATTTTATTGTCTATTCATTAATTATTTTAATTATTGTATTTATCAATTTTTCATATACAAAAGTCTCTGCATTACTGTTTTAGTTAACTATTCATGTCCATATTTGATTATTGTTTTGGATATTAATACATGGCAGTTCATATGTTATATTATATTTATTCTTTATGTATATTGGGTGTATAGTTTTTGTATTATATTTGCTTATTCTCACATGTATAATGATATAATGATTATTGGTATATTTTGATATTGTGTTCGTTGCGTAGATGTTATGAATACATAATTACATGATTGTTGCATATATTTTTATATCTTTTATCTACGTCCGTTATTGATATGTTTTTTACTTTATATTATCAGCTATTATATGTATTATTTTTGCTTTACAGATTACTATATGATATCGTGTATATCTTATTTTAATTCTAATGGCAGAATTTATTTTAAGGGTGATAGAATGTAAGGACCATGAATTTTTTAATACTAGTTAAAATAAATTTTTAGTATTTTAAAATATTCAATTATTATTTTTAAAAGAGTATTTATATTTTTCTTGATTTTCTACAATTTTTTATGATTTAAAGTCCAAGTTTTATATTTATTTAAATGATTTTAATATTTATAAGTTAATTTTATGCGGTAAAAATTTCTAGAATTAATCTATTGTATTATTGATACTATTACATATTATTTTTAATAATATGTTGTATTATTATTATTATTACGTATTATTTTGCATAATACATTGTATTATTAATTACGTATTATTTGTATAATTTATTGTATTATTTCTACTATTGTATATTATCGGTTGTATTAGTACAACTTGTACGTTTTATCGCGTAGATAATTATCCTATAATTATTTGATTTTAAATATAAGTAATTATATTTTTATTAATTATTCTTATTTAATTCTACAATTTATAGTATTATTTCTTCAATTGTGTATCAGCAATTGTACTAATACAACTGGCACGTTTTTATTTGTAGATAATTATTCAATTATTTTGATTTTTAAATGTCAGTAATTATTTATTTTAATTAATTTTTGTTTTAAATACCTTAACCCTAATCCCTCTCATATATATATAAGTTTTCTCTCTCTCGTTTTCGAACCAGTGCCGCCCCCCTTTTACACTTTCTCTCTCCTCTCTCTACGCTATCTCTCTCAGATCCCCGCAACCGCCCACTTCGACCAAGCCCGTCGACCGCGTGCCCGTCTCTTCCCGTCGTATCTCCGCACCCCGAACCCAACGGCGCACTATCGCCCAGCCTCGTCGCGCCATCGATGCGCGGCGAGCCAGACGCGCACTACGAGTGCCCCAACTCCAGCAGCCACACTCGCGACGGCAAGCCCCTCCCATCCCCTGGAACTCGTCGAGTGCCAACCGACGCACGAGCGCTTCTCCCTGCTCTTCTGCCCGAAGTTCGCTCATGCTTCGCACGCGCACCGCTCGTAGCCTGCCTCTCCTCATTCCCCTCGTCGGCCGATGGGCGTCGCGCTTTCCTGATCCCTGTTCATCATCTCCTGGGCGCACCCTTGTCGCGGCTACTCCTAGCCCAGATCTGCCCCATCCGCAGGCCGCCTGTCGCACCACGACGTGCAAATGCCACTGCCACCTGAACCCGCCAGCGCCGGTCTCCCCACTGACCGACAAGCCAGCACAAACAGCGCGCCGAGCTCTTCCGTTACCCGCCGTCCCGACGAAATTACCTACCGCAATGCCCTTACCGTCGAACAACCGTGCGTCGTCGACAAGCCTTCAAAGGCCGAGCCCCACGAACGCCCTTCCATCTCCGTCGCTGCCGTCATGCCTCAGCCGACGCTCGCCGCGGACTCGCACGTCGACGTCGATTCGTTCAACGAAACCCGAGGCAAGATCCCTCTTGCTCATTGACTGTCATTTCAATTTTAGATCTGTGAATTTAATTATATGCGTAGATAGACTGTATTATGATTATATTGTATGTTATGATATATCTGTGTGGGTTTGTTGATGGATAATATTAACTAATGATGTTATGATAAGTAATTTAAAGAAATAATTATTTTGTGCAATAGTGGTTATTTTGAGATGTTTTTAGAATTATTATGATGAGAAAAGAGATTATTTGGAAAATGAGTTGGTTTTGAATAATTATTAAAATAGATAATTTAAAAAAATTTATTTTAGATAATGGTGTAATTTGGGGGATAATGAGATAATTTTTGGAACATCACTTTTTGGTGTTATTCATTGGGGTAATTAGAATTGGAGTCAACTTTGTGGTGTTATTGGTTTGTTGGGGTAATTAGGGGACAAATACTCCACTTTTCCCTAAATTACACAACTATATAAAGATCCCCTCCACCACTTCCTCATAATTACCCCAAATTTACATCATCCTCCATATTGGAACAATTTTGTTACACGTTGAAGGCAATTGGGATAATTTTAAAATATTTTTGTATTACTTAACTAATACATGCTAATTATATTATAAATATATGATATGATATATAAAATATAACATATATTAATATTTTAATAACATAATTTAATAACATATATTAATAATATTATATAATAGTAATTATAGTATAACGTATTTATTATAATATTATATAATATTTTAATAACATAATATATTAATAATATTATGTAATATATTATTATATAATATTAATTAGTAATTATAGTATAACATATTTATTAAAATATCATATAATATTTTAATAACATATATTAATAATATTATATAATAACATATATTAATTATATAATAGTAATTATAGTATATTTTAATAACATATATTAATAGTATTATGTAATATATTATTATATAATATTAATTAGTAATTATAGTATAACGTATTTATTATAATATCATATAATATTTTAATAACATATATTAAAATTTTAATAACATATATTAATAATATTATATAATAACATATATTAATATTTTAATAACATATATTATATTATACTAACATATATTAATAATATTATATAATAACATATATTAATATTTTAATAACATATATATAATATTATATTATATTTTTTATAAATAAAATAATATATTATATTATTAAAATATTATATTAAATATATTAATATTATATTATATTAATTATTATATATAGTATAGTATAGCATGCTAATATAATATAATACAATACAATATAATAATTAATAATAGTAATTTGTAAGTATAGTACAATATATTATATTTTAATATAAAATAAAATAATATTTATATTATAATAATATACTAAATAATATACTAAACCAATTGGATAAGTTAATTTATAAGTAATTAATAGATAAAACTATATTTTAATAAGGTGTCACATCATCAATTATCCCACATGAATTGTCAAATCAAATGCTGAAATTATCCCATTATCCCACTTTACCCAACTCAAAATATCCCAAAGGGGTAAAATTGTTTCATTGGACAAATTTTCAAAACCAACCTTTTTGATTTTTTATTTGTAAAAAACGACCCATTTTCAAAATATTTGTAAAAACCGACCTGGTTTCAACGACCAGGTCGGTTTTTGCAAATAAAACTGAAATAGGTCGTTTTTTACAAATAAAAAACCAAAAGGGTTGGTTTTGAAAATTTGTCCTTGTTTCATTGGAACACTTTTCCCCCTTGGCCCCAATTTGTCCCAACCAATAACCCCCCTAAAGAAAAAATGTGCCTTTTGAGTTCTACAAAATTTTTAAATAAAGTTTTATAGAAATGTAAGGGAATAATTTTTTTTTTACTTTTCCTTTTCATCTTTTTGTACATCCCCTCAGTCTAGTTATCTCAGAAGTGAGAACCCAGCTAGTTTGTATCTCGTACGAGACGTAGAAAAAGAAGCCCGATAACGAGCCTCAATCTACCCTTGGAACAATCACCCGCTAGAAGAACACGAAGCTATGGTGCTCTTAACGCAATCTCCCAACGGAGCCCTATCGTCCTCATCCATTCTCCCCTTCTCCAATCCAAACCCTAGCTTCTCTCTCTTCTCCCGATCCCGCTCCAAGCTCCCCTCTTCGAACCCTAGCAGAAAACCGCCGCCACCGAGGACCCTCACCGCCCGCCCGCATCCGACGGCGAAGCGGGACCCAACTGCCCGCCCTCTCTCCTCCCCTCCTCCTCCTCGCTCTTCGGCCGAAGAGCGCGGCGCAGCAGCACCGTCTTCGTCGGAGACGAAGGGGTCCCGCTCGAAGGCGTCATCCGATTCGAGAAGCCCGATGCAACTCCTTCCAGATTGATCTCTTGGGCGTAATTTACCCTAAACCCTAATAAAGCTTGAATTATTTATTGTTATTATTATTATTTTGCATGGAATTGTGATTGTTGAATGAAAATTTCTCTTGGATTTCAGGCAGGTGGGTCTTCTAGCGGGAGGAGATGTGTTGTGCCTTCTTTTGTTCTCTGCTATAGGGAGGTTTAGCCATGGATTCCCTGTTCTTGACTTTGAGACACTTAAAACGGCTGACCCTTTTATTGCTGGTTTGTTCTATTTGTCAATTCTTTTGTCGTGATTGGTGTAGTGAGGATTGTAAATGCTTGATGTGTTTTTCTACTTGTACTGTGGATAGGATGGTTCTTGGGTGCCTACTTCCTTGGAGCTTATGGGGATGATGGGAAAGGGCTAAATGGTACCTCGAAAGCTATCACTGCCACAGCCAAATCTTGGCTCGTGGGAATTCCGGTAATGGGCTAATTTTTTAACTTACGCAATCTGCTAAGTATGAAACTGTTAAACTTTTTTTTTTGCACATAATGAGGTTTATAATTGAGATATTCCATGTTCTTTTGCTATGGAACACTTGCCTTTTTGGTGATGATTCCTCTTTTCCAAGCTCTCCTCTTGGTCCTAGGGTTCCTAGGCCCAATGCGGAAATGAGGGACTTGATCAAGGCATTGGTGCAGATAGGTTGGTTTGCTAATTTTCGAATTAGACCTATCCATTAAGGGCTTATTTTTCTATAGTACCCATACAAATTGTTAAAAATTATCTTTAATCTTTTCAAATCATTCTGAGCAACTTTTGTAAAAGGACTAGCATGAATATATGTTTTGTTTTTGAAATAAAAATCAGGAATAAAAGCGAGTTGCAAAACGACGGCGGGAAAGTCTATCATTCGAAGGGAATTATGAGATGTGATATTCAGAGAAGAACGTTAGAATTTGAAGTTGGTGATCATGTAATTTTAGAAGCCTCTCCTTCGAAGGTAATTATGATATTGTGATTAAAAGGGAAAGATAGGCCCAAGGTTTATTGGACATCTTGAGATTTTAGAAAGAGATGGAATTATAGTCTATGAAGCGGCTCTACCTTTGTCATTATCTGGAATCACAATTGTATTTCATGTATCTATGATTAGATAATACAAACAAGATCCATCTGACATATTGGATTATGAGCCACTCAAACCTGGAAAGGAACAGAGATACACTGACCAACCAATTCATGTTCATGATTAAAAAGAGCAGGTATTACACTCTAAATAGATTTCCATAGTAAAAATTCTTTGAAAAAATCATTCGCGTGAAGAAGCAACTTGGGAGCATGAGGAAGAAATGAAAGAAACATATGTAAACGTTGAGGAAAAAAATTGGGGGTGATTGTGATAATGCAATATCCTTATTAACCAACTGTTGAAATTTGAGAAAATTCGAAAATATGAGATTTGAACAAAAAGGTGAAAATGCTTTCATCCTTAAAGAGTTCATCACTTTATCTCTCATTATTTTATCAAATGTAAAGAGTTGGTCGTTGATGACTTACATGTGCTTGCTTAATTATCTACGACCTTAGGTAATATTAAATGCAGGTGGAATGAACTTGCACTACAAGTAGTATGAGATACTTGACTACTAGATCTACTACAATAAAATGAATTGGAGAATATAAATAAGAAAAAAAATAGATAAATGAATGAGGTGATGTCAAACTAATATGGACGTGCTTTTGGATAAGATTGTTTAAGTCTAGGGCACATAGATTCATATTGTTACCCCTTAGGTAAATATTTACTAGGAGATGACATGATTTCATATAGAGGCACGAAGGAGACTATTACTTTAAGTTTAAAAAAGGTATGAGGTCAATCTAAGGAGTACAATGTGTCAATACAAAGGTAATTACTAGCTTGGAAATCTAGAAGCCTTGGCTGCAAAGTTTGTTGTTAATGCTTCCAATAACAATGTCAATTTAATGGATGATTGCCTATGTAAGAGAATACCCCTAGGTCTGGTGAACAAACATTTCGGAGTATAGAAGTACGTGGTGAAGATTATTAACACAAGGAAAAAAAAGAAGGGCAAGTATCTCATATGTTTTTTATTTCTAAATTAATTTTTTTCTACTCATGAGTTATTCTTTGAATTTATGTTACTTCCAGTGTTGTAAATAGAGCCCGATAGCGACGGGATAGCAGTCGCGGCCACATACCGCTAGGCTTTCATGCTAAGTGGTCGACTCTTGCGGGCGTTTCTGCTTTCCGCTCGTAATTGTGGCGAAAAGTGCGTAATAGCGGTTAAAAAGCGCTATTAGAGCATTTCTAACAGCTTCCCTATTTCCCACTTTTGGAGAATTTAGTTAGGTTTTTAGTCTAACAGATTTCCCATCTCATTCCCCAAAATAGGGATGGAGGAGAAAAAATGGGGAAGCTTCCCCAAATCTGCAGCATTCTCCAAATTTTTGGAGGGAAAAAAGATTCTTCAAAATAGGGAAGCTGTTGGAGTTGGTGTAAAAATTAGTTGGAGAATATGACTTTTGCTTTCCTATTTTGGAGAAAATTTTGGAGAAGCTGTTGAAGATGTCCTTAGCGGCTAAAAAGCACTTTTAAGTGCTATTTTAAAATAGCGGGTTTAAGTTGAGGGACCCGAAACCCGACCCGAATGAACTTTAAACCCTATTCCAATCTATATCTCTCGACCTCGACTCTTTCCGTCAGCGCCTCGTCTCTCTTAAAAAACCCTAGTGCCGATAGTGACCTCTGAGAGCTCCTCCTCCGGTGATCTCCTCCGACGATCTCCTCCGGCAAGCTTCTCCTTCAGTGGTAAGCTTCTCCTTCAGCGGCAAGCTTCTCCTCTAGTTTTAGCAGCAACCTATGTTACCCGGGTACTTCTATAATGAAGTCGTACCCATACCGGATACGTACCCGACACTTTTCCGTACCCAAACTTCATGGACACTTCTTGAATATATGCATGCATTTATTACAACATGTACTCAATTATACTATATATGTGTTAATTTAAAACACTTGTCAAAGACTTCATGGACGTAGAGTTTACACTTCACATCCATCTTTTGAAACTAATGAGATACGGGTCAGATTCGTTTTAGTCCATACCCAAGTTTAAAACTATATAGTTAATGGATCGTTTAGATGTCTAGTAAAAAAATAAGTAGTTTACAATTCACGATAATCAATATGATAAAAGAAACTGTCCCGTACCCGCACCCGCACCCGTACCAGTACCCGTTTCCATGCAACTTAGGCAGCAGCCGACATCAGTTTTCTAGCAGGTCCTCTCTCGAGTCTTCGAAGCTCCAACAACAGCAGTAGCCCTCCAGCAGCAGCCCTCTAGCAATCCAGCAACCCTCCAGTAGTCCAGCAGCAGTCCTCGTGTAACAAATCTCCACCTTGACCACCTCCGCAAATCTCCATTCCATTCCGGTGATGATGATGAGGATGCTGAGTGATGATGAGTCATTGCTTGATTTCAGACTTTAGTTACTTTGCTTTTGAGACTTCTGGCTTTTAATTTGCTTTTATTTAGACTTTTGAGTTTGGAGTTTGAAAATGTCTAGGAGTTTGATATTTATTGCTTGTTTAGTATCTATAGACTGTTATTATCTATCATGATATTATCTTGGTTTACTTATTTATCTATACTTGAAGATTTTAGTTTTTATGTCGAGTTTCTAATAGTTAGTATAATAATGATGTTCCTAATCAATGTTTTTTTATTGTTGAGGATATTTATATTATAGACTTGAAAGTTGAAGGAATGAGACAAATAACGATCTTTTTGCTAAACATGTACGTTTTTTATTCTTTATAGTACTTTGTTAATATTATACAATTATTACACATCTATTTTATGCTTAGGATCTTTATAAATTATCAAATATGCCTTTGTGGAAATTTTAGATTTTTTTTGGAAATTTTCTTATTTTTTATAATATATAATAATATAAATATATTTATATTTGATTGCTATTTAACTATGCGCTATTTGCCGCTATTTTACCGCTATAGGCGCAAATAGCCCTAGCGGTACCTTGCCGCGACATAATCCGCTATCAGCAACCTTGGTTACTTTTGATTTTAATGTTAAATTTGAAGTATTGAATTAATGCAGAGGAGAGTAAGTCCTATTATTTCACTTATTAAATCGACATGGAAACTCATACGATGTAATTCAATACGGTTATTTCACTAATCTTATATAAAGATGAATACATATCATTACTCGAATGCAATGTTTTAAATATCGGATGTCGGGTTCATGTCGGACGGTTGAAATCCATGTCGGATAGCGAAAATCGGGGATATATCAGGGGACATGGACTAAATATCGGATTGCTATATCGGGTGGTGCTCATATGTATAATATCATGTTCTAAATGTAATCTAAGCATTTCTAAATTCAATATAAACATACTTTATAAATTCTAGAGGCGACGCCGGTGATGGGTGGATTCCGACGTCGTAGAGAGGTAGAGCCGGCGAAGGGACGTCGCAAGGAGGCAGTGTCGGGGCTCTTCTTCTTCGTCGGCTCGGGGTTTGAGTCACCGACCACCCTCTTCCCTTTATCCCGACGACGGGATACCCTACCGCTCTCAGGTTCGATTAGGGTTCGGATTTCGGGACATAACGGGAGATGGACGATGGGGGACCGAGATTGAGGTGGGGAAATGACGTCGTCGTTCATGAAAGGAGTGATGGGTTTTCAAGTCCACTGCAGCCCTAATTTTTCTCTTTTTTTTCTATCGGTTCATAAAAAACCCTTAAACATGAAACAGGTCAAACGAGTTTGAGTTTTTATCACTAAACTCAAACCCGATAACAAATAATAGATCTAAAAAGGGGTTATATCGGCCGATTTTTCAAAGCTGAAAAATCGATCGATATGCTCGATACGGCCCTGTTATTTTCGATTTGGCCCTGAAAACCGATATACGAGGTAAAAACGGCAATGTCGTGTCGCTCAAGCCCTCAAACCAACATGTCGGCTGACATATCGGACATGTCGGCCGACATTTAAAACCTTGCCCGAATGTTTTATTTTATAAATATTGTGGTTCTTAGTAAGACATATTCCTAAGCAGAAGATTTGGTTAACCACATATTTCATCTAAGATTACTTTTGAGAAAATATACATCGGTCAGCTATCATATATAAGATATAACTTATTTTCAGATGATTAACTATTGTCGTTAAGAAGTATACTTTACTCATAGGAGAATTATAGAGTCCTATATTACTTTATTGATTATTGTTCTTTTAAAGTATTGTAACTTCTGTCATTCATTAAACTACTCAAGTCTATTAATTGTTAAAGATCTTGTAATATATGATATTCTTATTTATCTATTGTTTTCCCAGTATATGTTTTTATAGGAAAATAATTTTCAGATTCTACTATATTATTTATTAAGAAATTATGAGATGATGGTTTACGCTAACTATTTCTAATCAATAATTTTTGAAATATGGCTACATATAAATTAAATATGTTACAAAGTACAAACATGATTATATGTTTATGTGTGAAATTTAAATATCCTTCTCTTTTAAAAGATTTAATATGAATAATTTAAATTCTAAAAGTATGACATTGTCATCAGATTGTCCTTTAAGTTTTGCTGAAATACTTAAAAAAAAAGAAAATTATTGAAGGTAGTTAAAGAAGTTATGTTACCATTGACTTTTATTTGGTTTAAAAGATCTTTTTTTTATAAAGATTACTAATAATGATATAGTTGTGAACAAAGCCTCTAGCTATTGGGTATTTGTTCAGACACATGCGTGGAAACCAAAGGGATTATTGATATAATTGTGGACTACCTGATCATTTGGAGATGTTCGAGCGGTATTTATCTAGATCTCTTAAAGATGTCTTCAGCTTTTTGTCGAGAAAACATTTGGAGATGTCCTAAGGGGTTTTCTTGGGATGTCTGTTGAGAATTCTGAACTCATGGGAATTTCTAAATCATTATTGTGTTGTTTTTGGGCTTCTTAGGTAACACCATCAACTAGGGATTTCTAGTTCCATGGCTGAGATGGTGTAACATAAAAATAATTGTTAAAATAATTGAGAAATGATGGGTTACATGCTTTATGGTAAATCTAATTCAGATTGTTTAATCAATATAATTTGATTATAAACTGATACTCCAAAATCACTTTTTTTGGGATTACGATTAAGTTTGATTTTATTTCATATAAAACAAATTAGATAATTGTACTTAAAAATAGTGAGATAACCATGTCAATTTCATATCGTACAAAAATAGTTATACTCAAAATTTTGAATTAATCGAGTACTTAGAATCAACTTTAAGATCTAACATGGAACATAAACTTGTACAAAAGTAATCCATACTGAACAATTAAAATTACTCTAAAACTTGAAATGATGGAATACTTAAACTTCTTTTCTCCCTTGTGTTAATATTCTTTCACCACCTACTTCTTCTATACTCCTCCGAAATGTTTTTCACCTTGATAAATTTTCTTGGAAATTATTTTCACCTAGATTTGTGGGGCGCTACCTCGTGTATAAGCATTCCTTGTTTTGGAGGCATTAATGCAAAACTTGCCAACCAAGGTTACATTCATACTAACATATCACACTTTTGAAATTTAGCTCATGGTTCTCTTAAACTTAAAGTTATGTTCTCTTTTGTGCCTTATCTAACAATGCTATCTCCTGCTAAATATTTACCTAAAAAGTAACATCGATTCATATATCCTATGGACCAACAATTCTTATCCAGGAGTACTTCCATATTAGTTTCACATCTAATTTCACTAGAAATTTTAACCTCATTTATTTATTTATTTATTTATTTTCTTATTTATTTATTCTCCAATTCATTTTAATGTAGTCGATAGAATGGTCAAGTATCTCATACTACTTGCAATGCAAGTTCACATGCAATTTCATTCACATGTACTATTACCTACATATTTAAGCTTTCATATGTAAGTTAATGTACCATCATCCATTTGGATTGTGGCGGAGCAAGGAATTTTGGCAGGGGGGGGGGGGGTTCCAAAAATAAGTAAACATGACAACACATAAAATTCTTAACGCAATTGATTAGCATCTTAACATCATTATATAATAAGAGTTTCATATTTATAATTTTAGTATATTGTTTACAATAGCACTCTTCTTGTCTTCATTTCTTGAAGTTGTTTTATAATTGAAAATGAACTAAACCAAACACCCACGAATGGATAAAACTCCAAACAAATGTCAACAACTCAACATTTCATGAATCGTCCATAATATTATGCAAATCTTTATTAAACCCGAAATTGCAATACTATTTATTATTATATCAAAACAAGTCTAATTATTAAACAAAAATCCATCATAAAAGGTTAAATCAGTTATGTTATCTCTACCCAAAGAGAAAATGACTAGTGCTTACCTTTCAAATCATGTAAATTAATTAGAAATTACTATGTTTTGACATTTTAGTGTAGTAATTCAACAGAGAATAAATTAGATTAGGTAAAATCATACTCGAACACGTAGTTTGGACTTGAAAATTCAACAGAGCGAAGAAAAGAGTCAAAGAGGTATTATAAAAGATAGGTACATTATGCAATTTAGCCCTTATAAAATACATATTAGCAAATGATGCATATTAGTTTTTTTTCATAATCCAGGGGGCCATGGCCATCCATTTGGATAGTGGCGGAGCTAGGAATTCGGCAGGGGGATAAAAAAAAAAGTAAACATGATAACATATAAAATTCTTAACGCAATTGATTAGTATCTTAACATCATTATATAATAAGAGTTTCAAAATCATAAGAGTTTCAAAATCATATTTATAATTTTAATATATTGTTTACAATAGCACTCTTTATTGTCTTCACTCTTCATTTCTTGAAATCGTTCTATAACTGAAAATGAAATAAACCAAACACCCAAAAATGAATAGAACTCCGAACAAATGTCAACAACTCAACACTTCATGAATCGTCCATAATCTTATGCAAATCTTTATTAAATTCGAAAATTGCAATACTGTTTACTATTATATCAAAACAAGTCTAATTATTAAAAAAATCCATCATAAAAGATTAAATCAGTTATGTTATCTCTACCCAAAGAGAAAACGACTAGTGCAATTTTTTACCTTTCAAATCATCTAAATAATTAGAAATTACTATGTTTTGGGATTTTAGTATAATAATTCAACAGAGAATAAATTAGATTAGGTAAAATCATACTCGAAATCGTAGTTTGGACTTGAAAATTCAACAGAGAGCAAACCAAAGAGTTAAAGAGGTATTATAAAAGATAGGTACATTTTGCAATTTAGCCCCCATAAAATACATGTTAGCAAATGATGCATTCTAGTTTTTTTTCCCATAATCCAGGGGGCTGGTGCCTGTTTGGCCCCAATACGGCTCTGCCCCTGCATTTGGATTTGATAAAACAATGTTAGAGAGAAATTTCTTTAAGGATGAAGAATTTTTACCTTTTTGTTCAAGTCTCATGTTTTGGAATTTTCTCAAAATTTAACCTTTGATTAGTGAGGATATTACAGTTTCAATCGAACTATAAACTTCCTCTTTTTAATAGCTGTTGATGAGTTTTCTCATTTAGTTATTTTTTAGTTGATTTCTTATTCATTAAGAAAATAGAACAGGAACAAGGATTATTGAATAACATTATGATAAACCCTTGTGGGGCATAATTGGGGAGGACAGTCGGGCTTTGTAATTTGTATAGGTGGTTGAGTTTGCTGATAGAAATTGCCAGTACCTTTATAGGTTGTAAAAATATTGCAAAGTATATTGCATTGAATCTCCTTGTTCTAAATTTGTGGTAGTCTTTGGCCTTTTATGCCAGAAAAATCACTAAAAATTTACAACTGTTCTCAGTATTGTGCCTATTCATGTTTGCTCTTATGTTATTTACTTTATATAGTAGTTGTTTTGTATTGCTACAAAGTTCTCATTCATGAATTAATACTTTTTGTTGTCCAGTTAGGAATTGTTGTTAGGGCCGCAACATCAGGTCACATTCCATCAACAGCTTTTATGCTTGTAAGCATGGGAAGCACCGGCATCTTGTTGATTGGATGGAGAGCCCTGATATCCAAATTTCTACCAAGTAAACAAACCAAGAAAAGTGATGTATACAAGCGTGGGAGTGCTTTCGAGCTCTTTGAGGTAATTAAAATACCTTGCTAATACTATACTAAAACAAAAATTGAAGATTTAAACTGTGAAGGCATCTTTTTTGTTACTTTTTACATGTTTATTTTAAATGAACAAACTCATCTACAGTACTTGCAAGTGCAAGTTTCTTTGGAATGCTTGTGAGAGTTCATTTCTTGTTTGTAGCTGCTCACATCTTTGGTACGGAGGTGGTGATTTTGAGCCGCACATTGACATCCTGTTCTGTATGTATTTTTCTTTGGCTTCACTTGTGACCATCCTGTATGGGTAAGTCTGATTTTGGAATCTTGCACATGGTATTTATTGGCTCGCTATCTGCAGTGATGTATATTACATATCCATGTGATTATTTTGAAGTAATGAAGTTATACAGAGGAAGCAGGATCAAATAACTTTCTCTTTGATCGAGTAAGGAAGTAGAACTTCAAGCATATCAAGTATTTGGAAGGGTTCTAGAATATATGTAATGCTTAGATTAAATAATGCATATTTCTGGTGATGATTCTTGCTCATGCTTCTGTTGTGTTTTATATTCTCTTTTTTTGCTTCAAAAAACAATCTTGGTTTGATATCTCCAGTCATTCATCTGATACCAACATGTTTCATTTCATGGCAAGTCAAAGTCCTATCTCTGTTATTTTAAGAATAATAGTTCTGAGAGGTAGTTTCCGCTCTTCAATATCTAGCCTTCAAGGTCTCAACAGGCGTCCCTGGTGTTTGTTGTTGCCTATGGTAGGAAAGTGGTGCCAACTCAAACGCATTGGGTTTTCCAAGATGAATTCTAGTTGTAGAAGTTTGTTGTGGCTACATTTTGTGGCTTTTGTTTTGCATTTTATATTTGCTCGGTTCATGCTACTAAGAAACTGTAAATTGTGAAAACATTGGTTGCCTTCCATTCTCAAGCTCAAGTTACTGATGTTTGACATGTCATCTTTTGAAACCAAACGTATAATCTATAATTGGAATGTAGAAACAGGATTAAAGGGAACATTTTCTGTTTCTTTTTTAATGAATACAGATTAGAAATTAATTTATTGATAGCAAAATTACCTAATGGGTTTTTCTATAATGTGCCCTTAGGACATATGTTAAGAAAACATTAAATACTCCCCAACTACCTCCAATATCATAGATGGATGTGTAGAATTTAATGATTTTGTTTATTTTTCCTAAAATAATAATTCTAAACATTAACATGCATCAACTTAATATATTTTAATAAAAATAATTTATTTCTAGAGATTAAAAGTAACATTTTATTCAAAAACCATTAAATTTGTACACATTCTTTTATGATATTGGAAGTATTTGATATCATTTAATGCTTCTTAACATATGGCCTAAGGGCATACTATAGAAAAACCCTTATCGAATTTATTTACTCTTCTAATTGGGGCTCTGCAATGGAAGCAGAGAAACTCACATGGTAAAGTTGCATGAGCGCAGACATGCATATGCAAAATGAATATAACAGTAAGAAATTATAAAGGTTTTGGGGGCAACAAATGGCTCTCTTTCATCCATTCATCTTTGTTAAGGTCCTCTGTCAATTTTGCAGCTATACATCTTTTTAACTCCGTATCCATCTCATTTAGGATATTCATATTCCAAAGTCCTCATTGCTTTATTAACTATGATTTTACCTCCTAAAGTGTGCAATTAGCGATTCTCTGCACACAATCAGTTCCCCCTCATGTTTCTTTAACTAGGTGGGATGCACATGCGTTGCACGTGGTTAAATAATTTGATTATTTATTTTGGGTCTATGTCTTTACTATCTCGTTTGTAAAGTAGTTCATTGTTACCATATAATATATTGCACTAAATAAGAATAATTTTTTCAAGCCTCTACTTGATGATAATAATAGTTCGTAGAGTGATATCAAGCTTGCTAGTGCATTGAATTTAATTATGCCATTCCAAATGTTAGAACTTTGATCTAATAAACATATCAAAGACTCTTAACTTGTAAAATTTTGAATATGTTGTGCCATATAACAAATGCATTATGCGATGAGAAGTCTCTATTAAATCCATACTCAACAAAATTTATATGAGACTAACAAATGAATGGTTACAAGATATAAAGTATTATTTCAAGAACAATAAAACTATATATCAAGATGTTACTAACTACTAATACACAAAACTAATATTATTTTCAATATGAGTAAAACATTTATAGAAACTAAGTTCCCGCAAAACTTGTACATCATACCTTTATGCTAAATTCAACAACATTATTCAGAAAAATTGACATCTTCCCTAAAAACATAAGGTGTCAAAGCTTTGACCTCTTTAAGTAAGTTTTTGAACTTTGGGAGATACCATTTCCCTGTAGCAAAATTGCTATCAGTCAAACACAGTATCGCTCAAGGCGAAAGAAAGTACATGCACAGTTTACGCAATGAGAGCAATTCCGGAAAAGCTATGATATCAAAGAGATGATGTGAGCATATAACCCACCCAAAAAGACCTTCCCTTAGAATATAGCAGCATTTGTCACCATTTGTTCTAAAGATAATGAAGTTTAGAGAAGTCTTGTTCAAAATTCATCAAATGTCAAGTGAACATATAACCACCCCGAGAGACCTCCCCTTGTAAGTCTACATCATTTGTCACCCTTTGTTTAAAGAGAGTGAAATTCAGAGGAGTCTTGTTCAAAATTCTTCGAATATCACGTGTTTTTTTCCAAATTACATTAAGGTTGTGTTTAGATTCAAGAAATTAATTATAGAATTTGAGAAATTTATTCTAATTCTATTGTTTGGGAATGTTAGAATTTCAATTCTAGAATTTTTAAACTCCAACGTTTATGTTATGATATTTTTGGATTTTAAGGGGATTATTTGAAGATTTTGGTCTTTCTAAGAGCTTGTTTACATTTTTTGATTTTTGAGGAACTGTTTATAAATTTTGAGTTTTTCACATTTTTTGGCAGTTATTTTGTAATTTTCAAATTTTTCACAAGGGTTTTCATAATTTTCAAACTTTTCGCGGTGTTTCAAAATTTCAAATTGTTTAACGCTAATCAAAGATTTCATATCTTCAAGGTGTTTTTTTTAGTTTTTGGATTATTCGGAACATTTGTTTTGTAATATTTAGGACTTTTCGAGGTTATTTGTAATTTTTGAATTTTCAGTGGCTTTTTTTGTAGTTTCAGATTAATCAAAGGAGTGGTCAAAAGATTTTAGATTTTTAGGTTGTTTTTAAAATTTTAGGATTTCTGGGATGTTTTGTAATTTTCAATTCTTCTAAGGAATATTTGTAATTTTCAGGATATTGTTTGTAATTTGTAATTATTCAGAGAACTTTTCAGAAATTTCTACGTTTAGGGTGTTTTCTATAATTTTTGTATTTATTCAGGTATTTTCAATAACTTTAAATTTTTAGGGGTCGGTTTGTAATTTTAAACTTTTAGGGTGTCCTATGTAATTATTGATTGTTTCTTAGATTGTTCAAAAATTTTAGATATTCAAGGTTTTTTTGTAAGTTTTAAAATTTTTAAAATATTTTAATAATTATTATATTCTTTAGTGGTAGTTTGTAATTTTTTATTTTTAGGGTGCTATCTATAATTTTAGGTTGTTCAGGGACTATTAGAAATCTTATATTTTCAAGCTTTTTTGTAATTTTTAGAATTTTATGTCATGATGTTAGTATTTTTTTAAAATTTTAGGGTTCGGTCTTTAATTTTATATTATTTAAGGGTTGTTGAAAATTTCTGATTTACAGTGTTTTTTTTTAAGTTTGGTAAATTTTAAATTTTCAAGCGGCCCATAAGTAATTTATAGAATTTTTAAATAGCGAGTTGTAATTTGTAATTGTGTAAGGGGTTGTATGTAAATTTTGAATTCCTCACGGGTTTTTAACAGTTTTAGATTTCTAAGGGGTTGTTTGTAATTTCTAATTTAAGGATGCTATGCATAATATATATATTTTTAAGACCGTTGTTTGTAATTTTTGGATTTTTAAGCAAGCTGTTTGCATTTTTTAGATTTTTAAAAACTTTTTTGTAATTTTTGGATTCTTACAGAATGTTTTTGCAATTTTATGATTTTAGGGGTTGATTTTTATAATTTTCAAATTTGTAAGAACAGCCTGTAATGCTATGGTGTGGTAATATTGAATAATCATATAAAGCAATTGTGTGTGTGTGGTGTGGTGTGTGTATATATATATAATTATATATATATTATATATATATACTATAGATTAATGGGCTATCCTTGATCATCAGGACGCGAATTATCACATGTCGCTCAGATCATGTGGTTTTAGAGGCGTCAAGGAGAAAATCCTCCTAATGACACAGGATAGCTCATTAATCCTCTATTTTATATATATATATATACTATATAATTATAATATATATATATATATTATAATATATATATATATATATTTATATGTGTGTGTGTGTGTGTGTGTGTTTTTTGAGCTAGACTACTATTAATAGTATCCAACATGCGAATATTATCATCCTAATTTTGAAAATTGGAACCCAAAAATAAAAATCCGAACTGGTAATGTAATCTACTACACATGAACTAGTTCGAAACAAAATTTCAAAGGATTTTATCATCATTAATCCATGCAAAATATGTTGTCAAAATCAGCGTTTCAGAATTTTCCTGAAGTTGGTTAATTTTCGCCTCTTGATATATAATTCAAAACATGTCGAAATCATGCAAAATATATTGTCAAAATCAACGTTTCAAAATTTTTCTAAAGTTGGTTAATTTTCGCCTCTTGATATATATTTCAAAGCACGTCGAAATCATTTGAAATTTTGTTTCTAACTAGTTCATGTGTTGTAGATCACATCTACCGGTTCGGATTTCAGATTTTCATTTTTGGGTTCCGATTTTTAAAATTAGGTTGATAGTATACGACGCGATGTTGGATACAACTAAAGTAGCCTAGCACAACTACTATATATAGGTAGGGTTATATTATATATAATATATACTTTATAGTATACTATAGTATATATATATTATTAGAATACATGGAGGTGAGCCTGACAGCTGCACGTCTCTCCCATGCCTGCGCAAGTGTATGACATAGTCGAGCCCCTACACCGATGGTGACTAGTAAGGGGCTCCACATGTCATACACGGTGCACGCTCACGGGGAGGTGAGGCTGGCCAGCCTGCACCCTATCGATTATGTCTCTCCTACTGCTCTCCTCTCATGCATATATATATATATATATATAGTATAGACTATAATATATGTATAATATATATATATATATATAGTATAGGAACCTTTAAAGAATATTTTTGTTATTATTGATTAGAATGTGATCACAATGTAATATCCAAAAAAGGATCAAGGATAATACTGACTATGAGAAGATTTACCCGAACTCACACTTTTAAACAGAGTATGATATATGTGGAGTGGAGGGAGGAATTAGGGAGAATCGAAGAACAAAATCTTATTTCTCTAGCTTGATGTTTCGCACCTGCAAGATGATGCCTATATATAGACTTAGCAATTTAAT